TTAACGCTCTGTATCTTTCTATCTATCTATCTATCTATCTATCTATCTATCTATCTATTTTTTTCTATTATCTGTCTATCTATTATCTGTCTTTCTTTTTAACGCTCTGTTTTTTTCTATCTATCTATCTATCTATCTATCTATCTATCTATCTATCTATCTATCTATCTATCTATCTATCTCCCCCCAAAGCAACACAAACTGAGCTCCATATATAAACAAGTATTTTTTTGCAGACATATCTTTCTCGTGGAAAAAAAAATATATACTTTTAATATAAATCTTTTGTATCTGAAACAAGGGGGATCAGCAGAGGAGGCTCTCAAAGCCTGACAAGACACCCTATATTTAATCATATAGTACAACGTTGCAAAGAGTGTTCCGAGTTCTCTTGGACCAGCAAGGCTCAGGACAGCAAAATATATACAAGGTCATCGAGTTAAATATAAAAAGGGATCGTTTGTTATATACATTTGGTCTCTTCTCTTGAATATGCTTATATAGTCTTTAGAAGTTCTTGTCATGATAAGGTGAGATGTCCCTTCCTGCAGTGGCTGTCTATAGGCTCCTTTCCTAAGGTCATGACGCTGTGGTCCCACATAGGCGACTTGAGCCCACCACCTCTTTGAGGTCATTTTCAGGTTTTCCAGCCACCATAAACGGCCACGTCTGTCAGAAAAAGGAAACAAGTAAAAATGAGTTTAATGCTCCTATAGGAAATAAGGAGGCAGCTCTGCTATTGCTGGGAATTAGGCTCCCCAGATGGTTAAATGTGGAGTACAGACCTCCACAGGCACAGTCTGCAACAATTGTATATATGTCTGCTTATATGAATAGAAATTCGCACACACAGACGTATACCATGTACATGGAGGATTACATTCAGTCTTGTGTGGGATGAAAACCCTGACATGAAGGGATTAGTCATACAGCAGATAGAAGCACTGATTCATGGAAATACATTTATCACACCCTAGTTTCCAGGCACAATACTATCTGTATCTGCTCAGTGACAACACTAGCCAGGCTGATCAACACAGTATCTGTATTTTAGTTGTTTTTATTTAAAATATTTTCTGGATTACTACAAGCAATACCTTATATTTATAGTAGTTCAAAAATCAGGGATAACCACTAACATCATTTAGTCTTATCCTGCTATTTTAATAGTTGAGCCAAGATGTTATATGCAGTCTAAAATATAGAAATATAGTACTAACAATAATAATAATAATAATAACTACTTCTGAATAACAACACTTCTACTACTTTTACAGCTAATACTACTACTATTTATAATAATAACTACTGCTAAACAACAACACTACTACTACTGTTACTACTACTACTACTACTAATAATAATAATAATAATATTATAA